TGCAATTACAAAAATAATTAATGTCTATTTTTGTTTTCCCGTTAATTGGTGTGCAAGTGTATATTTCTTCAAATAAATTTGCATTCGTTTAAATGAATTTGATGTAATTGTTCCTTTTTTTTTTAATTTTATTCGAATTAAAACACGGAAACGGTTGCACGATATTCAAACTCTTTATTTTATGAAAGCCAGTGTGCTGTGAGAAAGTTCTAAGTGTAATATTACCCCTTTAGAGCCTAATATCATGAATTAGGCTGAATTTAAAAAATATACCCTTCCGTTTATTTAAAAAGCACCATATAGGAAAATCAAAGAGAAACCAGTCTCCGAGCAATACCTTCGCGATGTGGGGCTTCCGTTCCCAATTTGTTCCCAGAGAGAACACTCATCCGCCCCCATAGAAGCACTGGGGGTCTGTGATGATCATCATGCATAAAATCTGATTCGTCTAAAGTGTCTAAACCCTTAGGATGAAGTTAGAATGGTGGGTGGATGTAATTTTAATCTGGTGGTTATGCGGATGAGGTGCCATTTGCCAGATTACCCTGAGGCAAAATGATGAACAAGAACATTACACTTATATCTCGAACTTCACGAACATCATGACATGTTTTACGTAACATTTTCAAACATTAATAATAAGTGGCTGCAAACTAACGTGAGTGGTAAATAATTAGCATTGCTTTATTAGAAATTAGCAACATCGGCTTAGCCAAACATAGGTTTTAAATAAAAATACCAAGAATGTAGCAAGAGTTTGTCCATGCTCTTACTTATTCTTATATATACTATTAAACCAACCACAATAAAAAGTCAGTACTTCCTGTCATTCGGGTGGTTAAAGGTTGAAGAGTCGGCTTCATTACTTACGATTCTTACCTCTCAAGCTTTTCGTTAACCTTTGCTTTTTGCCACATCCAAAGCTTTGTTAAGGGCATTTGTGTGAATCCTTCATGCTTTGGCTTTTCCTCTCCCATGATTATAAATCACATCGCCTTTGCCTCAATAGAGAACAGATGCATACTGCTGTTCCGAGACTATGCATGTGCCTGTGATTTGCATAGTGTTCATTCAGCAGTCCTACTAGCTACTCCTAGTACGCCATAGTTTTAGTAGTTCTGTCATTTCTAAGATGGTTCTTTAATGAACGGTTTCACATTAATTTTACGTTGTTATTATACATTCCCATTGAACCGAGTTATTCTTAACACTATCTGCATCTGCTTTTTATGCAATTTGGTATGCTGCAAAGGGATTCAGAGAAAATTTCTTAGTTAATTGATTGACTTTCTGGCCCTGTGTGCCATGGTACTCAATAAGTGTAATTTTGTTGTTTTCCGCAATGTCTGACATAGCCTTGATGCAATTCAAAATGGCTCTTGACATTACTACCTTTATTGCCGTCTGGCTGTTGACTGTTCTTTTGTTCTTTGTTTGTTCTTTTGTTGGTAATTTTGATCGCCTGGCACAGTGTTTAATAGCTGTAGACTATGCCTGGCAGTGGCACAATGCCTAAAGCTTACATGAACTGTAGTCCTTGGTTTACTTACATACCAGCTACTTACCCATATTCGATTTTAGAGCCATCTGTTTATCAGATATCGCCTACATTAACTGGTACCCTTTTGCCCAGTCTGCTGTTTTAGGAATTTTGATTTGAAAATTCTAATCAAATTTGAATTTTGGGATCATTGGGTGATGTGAACAAAGGTTCATACGACATTAGAAATTATTCTCAAATACATTTCCTTGCAAAGCTGGACCGAACCATCTTATTTACATTATACCCCATTTTGATTTTTTTTTTTTTTTTTTGGCATTGGATTTTCATCCATAGCCATGTCTCAAATATGGTATTAATTATTAACTAATAGTTTTTTACTTCTTAAGTGTGACATAGTGTTAAAACATAAAATTTTAAAATTAAATACAAAAATTAAAGTAAATATTTATTTTATTATTGGTTAATTATACGGTGAGATTACATGATCTTACAAATGAGACGACCTCGCTATATATGTAGTAGTTCCTTGAGTCTATATAGTATGGTAACTAAAGGGATTATCTATGTATCCAGACAAGGCTGTAAAGAATTTTTTCGTTTCCTTCTCATATCTAGAACAAATCATGATTAAATGTTCCATTGAACTCAGTTCCATATAGAGCTCGCAAACGTCTGTAGCAGATCTGTTTATTTTACGCATATATTGATTGACCACATATGGCATGGTTTGATCTGAGCCCGGCTATAATTTTGCACTGGTTTTTTTTGTCGAAAATTTCTAGCATTGTGTACATTAATTTTTTTTAATCAAAAATTTTCTAGCATTGTATAAATTCATTTTTTTATACAAAATTTTCTAGCATTGTATAATTTTTTTTCACATCGTACATGTATTTGTAAAATATAAACAAAGTTTATAAATCCCAGACCCTGAAGATGATCTCAATAAAGATCGAAACGTGGCAAGATAAAGAAAATGTTTTTCTAAAACCTATGTCACACCAGACCGCGTCTCAAAATCTCCAAATAATTATAGTATTGGGTTGTCCGGAAAATAATGCAGGATTTTGGTATTAAACAAAAAAAAAGAAACTAGTTACTTTAAAGCAATGTTCTTTAATCAAAATNGAGGTAAACAAACAATATCATTTGGAAGAGGATTAATAAGTGTTGACATTCATACAAATGAGTAATCCTGTAAACGTAAACAGAATATTTTATATAGATTTTTTTAAATGAAAACTTAAAATCCTGCATTATTTTCCGGACAACCCAATAATAATGCCTTTCATTAAGTATATAGATTGTCCTATTGACAATCTTAAATTAAATGTAAATTAATTTATTAAAATTTATATATTTTAGAAATCTAATTGTTCAGGGTCATAGAGCCCGCAAGGTAGTTTTACATAATAGTACAATTAATTCCATTTTCAGTAGAGGCTTACTATTAATGATTAATTACATGATCCTTTCTTTGTATGCTTGGGCAGTTTTGGATTAGATTTTCAGGTTCTAAATAAATACCCAAATATGTTAGAGTTTTGGGCGGCTCTATTCCCCATTATTCATGCTTGTTGAATACTGAATAATAAGAGGTTAATCATCAATATTGATTTAAAATAATATTGCATTACCATTGTCAGATAAACCATCTACTTCTAAACGATGTCTTCCTTCCAAACGGAATTACTTCCGTTGGTGTTCTTTTTATTTGTAAAATAGAAAAAAATATCAACTCTTAAGATAAATTATATATTTGTAAATACATAAAACGATGAACGAATTTGGTTTTGTACGGAACACCTTAGCAATAAAGTTTAGCAGAAAGTTTGGCCAGAAACAACCGTATACATGAAAATGAAGAAGTCAAATTGGGTTAGGACAGCGGAAAAGAGAATCGGCGTCTGAAGCCTCAAGGGCCGCTCGCTGGCCTAACATAGTGGTTGCCATATGGACCCTTTGCGAAAATTTCCTAGAATAAATCACAGGGTGAATTCCAAACGGGTATTTGCTGTATTCAAATAAACTGTAGGTGGGCTGAATGTTCGTTGAGTTTGGAGCCGCGGCGGATATTGGGAAAGTCCGCCGGCATTTGCATCAAGTCCGGGCAGGCCTACCCTTAGGGACAGGTCACAAGTAAACTCGTACGTTTCTGCCCTTTGCTGGCCGAGAAGCTGAATTCTTTCCCTTATAAGATTTTATCTTAGGGTTTTCCTTTGGGGATCATTCTATACTCACAGAATCGCCTTTTCCTCTTGCTGACAACTACGAATTTTTTGGGTTTTTGCAATTGAACCTGTCAATGAAAAATAGATCTTTTTCTATTATTATATGTACTTTTTATAAAGTGTGATATTGTCTACTCCATTTTTAAAATTTTCTGTAAGAGTGGATTAAAAACAAACTTTCTGGACAGACCTCCTAAATTTAATAAGCATTATGTTTGTTCAATGAAAAGTCCATTAATAAATATTAATCATGCATTTATAAATTTGAAGTTGTAAATTATTTCACCTTCATGAACCAAACACTTAAAAGAAAATGTATCAACACGAATACAAATAATTTCTTTCTTTCTATTGTGAGTGAAGAATTTGTAATAAAATAGAACATAATGCCCAAATTTTTGCCCTATGGAAAAAACGTCAATTGAAGAAGTAACAGAAATATTATTCCAGTTATTATAAACCTTTTGGATTTATTAAAATTAATATATATTTATCAACGTGACGCCGGTAGTTTTTCACCGCTTTCTTTAAAAAACAAAGATAATTAGTACTAAGTTCTTCGTGTAACGTGTAATTAAGAAACGACGAGGGGTGTAGCCAGTAAAAAAAAAAAAAAAAAAAAAAAAAAAAAAAAAAAAAAAAAATAGTTATTACTGAAGCCGAAATGCGTTTTAGTATCTTCAAAACCTGCTGGTACAGACGGGCACTATATCGGCTTAAAACATGAATTAAGCCACATTTGAAAAGTTTAGAAAGGGTCAATAGCCCCAGAATTTTATGCCCTCCGGGCCGGATGGTAATTCATCCTTCAATAATCCTTGACACTGATAAAAGGAAAATTTCACTGGAAAGCTCGTCGAAGGAGTTGTCTGTTTTCTTTCTATCTGGCTTTAGCTTCGATCTTGATTTTGAATGATGATCAATAATTAAGTCTAATTGGCCAGATTACTTCTTTCAATTAATAATTATTTTTATATAAAGTCTTGGTTGAGATGAAAAAGAGCCCACGACCTTGGCTAATATTATAATTATATCGGAATAATTATATTGTTGAAATAATTAGGTTTTTCACACTTTGCAGGTGATATTAATATTATTGATTAAATATCTAAAATAATTGTATTCTTGTAATGGCCAGCAGTTCTTATTGTACCGTACTTATGCAGATAATGAGCAATCCAACCAGCTTTAAATAAAACAGAACAGCTGACACTACATCTTGATACAGTGTTTTGCTCTTATTAATTCTGTTTCCTCTTTTGCAGCGAGAAGAGCGACATGTCGAGCATGATGTCGCGGAAGAGTACCAGCTGTGCACCAAGGATGGAAACGGGCCCTCCTCGGCCGGAACAGCCGTTTTACAGATCCGGACCGCATTCTATAACAGCGCCCAGCCCAGATGCAATGAAGGTGAGGTTAGCCGCAATGGTACTTCAACCTCCAACAAGGGTCTAGCCAAAGTAACACAGCCTGGCATTTGTTCCGCTTAACCCAAAGACAATGGTCCCCAATACGGCTGACATTAACTATAAGGCATCGCACGTACTGTCGACTGAAAATTTTATTTTTCTGTGTAACAGATGTCATGCTCCCTACCCAAACCCAAGTGACCGCATCTTATATTGTTGTTTCTATATACATTTTTTTTTAAATCCATTAACAATTTTATTTCAATTTTGATTGTGAATGACAGCACTGTTTTCGCATCCTTTTGAAACAATTTTGTTTTGATTTTTTTTACTACTGTGAAGCACTTTAAGGTGTTTAAATTATTATTTTTATTAACATGCTCTAATATTAGTGAAACGTCTTTACTAAAAATCCCAATTGAATTGTTTAAATATGGAGAAACGAAAATAATATTGCATACAAAATACACAAAGTGCATCAATATCATCAATTTAAATTTGATTATTGCCTATAAATATATAGACTTTACTTTTAGTAGACTTTACTAATCCTAATTTTAACCTTCATTAATTTTAAATCTTGCATTTATCTAGTTCGAAACATCAAGATCGATTCGTTGAAAATGTTTTACAATTTAGAAAGCAGTAATCAAAAGTTTACTCTCCTTCCACCTACCTTGACATGCATAAAAGAACCGCAATACTTATGAACTTGTGAGGATTTTCAACTTCGCCGAAAAAGCCCTTTGGGTAATCTTAGTAATACTTATTGGAAGACTATGATGTATTATTCATAAAGCGTGTAAACTGTGTGCAAACTTCATAATGCGATGCCAGAAATTTCTTCCTCCATTTCTCGCTCGGCCTACATTCCGACATCGGACATTCATTCCTGATTTTATTCCTTCATTGGAATATTATTTTCATTTCTCCATTAGGGTGCTGAGTGGCAACAATAAATTATTAACCGCAATGTCTTATTTACCAAATCATATATATTTTTCTTGTTCTGTTTAAGATAATGGAATATGTAAAAAAAAGACAATAATTTAGAAATGTTTAGAGTAATTTTATTAATATTTTTTTATGTTTTTATTTTTCGTTGTAAAATCGTAATGTTACTCTTAATTGGTTGCACATTTAGTTTTATGTTATAATTTTAGAGAACGATCTCGTATGACATTGTGCCGACCTAGTCAGATATATAATTATTTTTTTGACATGAAAATTTTTATAAATTTTATAATTATAAGTAAAAATAAATTTTGTATATTAGAGTTATAAATAAGCGGTAATTTTATAGAGGAAAAACAGTAAAACGGGGATTTCAAAAAATTAAACTTATAAACTCTTTTATTTTCCCCCATCTCTAAGTGTATTGCATTTCATAGACAAACATAATTAGCATATCGGCATGAAAACGATTGTTCCCCATTTGTTATCATTCCAAACACAACTGAAATTCCTTGTGACATAAGTCTTTCAGATTGTTATACCACCTTGCAATATTAAAACTGAAAAACCCACCGTTGCACATTTTGAACTTTTTTGTTGTTACCCTTTTTGTTTTTCTTTTATGAAAAGAAAAATATTTAATGATGTTATTTTAGATTGATTTTTTAAAAGCACCTGTTTGTTTTATATCGATTATAAATGCACGCTCTGTATAGTATAATCTTTTGAAAGACCCCTAATTTCTACAAATATATTTAATTTTTTCTTTGCAGCTATTGTTGTAAAAGTAAATGTGTAGCAAAGCATAAGGCAAATAGTTTCTAAACTAAGTCAGCTCATAATTGCACTTGACAAGCAACATGGTGACAATCAGTTTATTGTAATCCCATGTTCCTGTTTTTCTTATAATTCTTCATTTGCAATTCTCAAAATTTCCACTTAATATTACTTGCATTTCTTATACTTTTACAAATCGTCAGTTCACTGTGATTAATGAAATTTATTTTCTCAGTTTTTTAAACACTCTGTTTAAAAAGCCTAGATTTACATAAAACCAATTTTTCACAACAATTCCACGATTCATCCATGCAACAAGGCACTATTTCAACTGGTTTAGAAAACAGGGAATGTCCACTTCAACGCCAAGTTTTCGGCGGGGTCTGGTCAATCCGGTGTCCCGCAAGGAAGCATTTTTGATCCCATATACTACTAACCTGCCATACATCCAACACCATTCTTGTAACCTAAGCGAACTATACCGCAATTTTATATCTAAATTTAATCCTTACTCAAAGAAGAATATAGCACAAAGTGTGGTAAAGTGAATTGTACGAAGACAAATGCAGCCAGACAGCGATCACGTTAAATAAACAGCCACGTTTATACGTTTACAGTAAGAAACTACCAACAATACACAGATTAAAAACTTAAGATTATACCTAGCAGAATAACGTGGAATCCCCACATCAGACTCAAGCGGCAGGAAACAGAAGACTTGAACGACTATTAAGACTTGTAGGACCGAAATCAAACATGATTGTAGAGAACAAACTAACATTGTGCAAAACATACATATTTGGACATGCAGAGCACAACTCTGTACCACCTATTATTAAACTAGTCTAAGGATTCCAACAAGTACTCAAACTCAAAATAACTCAACATCGTCCTCTAAGCTCCTTACTTACTTTACTCTTACATCACTATTTACAAGAACCTCCTTGACAATCTCTTCGTTAAAGGATTAATCCGTTCCCACTTCCTCAAGTTTCACTGAAATCTTTCAACCCATCCTAACCCAATCTTACAGCCGTCTTACCTTATCTGATAACTCCCATATCCTCAAATGATGATGGCAACGAGACCTCCTTGCCTTAATCTGAAAGCAAATTGAGTGCCAGCGTTTGTTGGCTTCTTATTACACTACGCGTGCCCTTCGGGTTCTGTGCTAGCAAAAGTGTGAATTTTAAAAAAAATGAGCAAACCTTTATATCTCATTGTTTAATTGATCTATTGAAATCTAACCAGATATGATGATGTTTTATAAATGGTAGATCTTAAGTACCAGTTAAACTTCTAAATTGAACTTGAAAGAAATTTATTAACAGCATTGAAACGGATGCCGATTATTATAATTATAAGAACATGTGTAAAATGTATAACAGCACGCTTTAGTGCCAGAATTGCTAAATTTGTACATTTATTTCAATAAAAGGAGATAGATTTAACATGCTTATCATAAATAACTCAAAACTTATGAATAAGGATTAAATTTACTGGAGTTACCTACTACAATACGGTTTAATCTGGGGTAGAAATCCTTTGTTGCAAATTATAATTAAATTAAGTTAATACATCATAGTGATTTTGTACAATAAAATACAAACTATGTTTTTAATCGTAAAAACCGTGTGTGTGTTTAATCGTGTACCCGTGCCTCTTTTTATATCTATTCCGCAGCATAAAAGGAAAATGGGATATATCATCTGTCAAGGAACGCGCATTAAATTTATTGCTGGACCAAAGGGAATTCGTTGCTTTGTTTTCATTTTTTCAACAAGTTAATAAAATGATGTTTAATATTTTTATATTGGGATCGAGTTTAATATTCTAGGAAGACCCATATCGTTTCTCCATTTTTTTTAATAAATTCAAATTAAACACTTTGTCTTTTGATACTTGTCCTCACTGGGAGCGTTATTTTTACAATTGGTTTTGAAAAGGGATTTCAAATATAAAATTAGAATTGTTTACCATAACAAAATCGCTTACTGAACCAAAGGTCCTTCTAAGAAAACACCACTGTAGACATACCTCAGCTCACCCAACAAAACAATGGTTCAATTTTATCTTGGTACTAAAATGAGAAATGTATTTATTATTATTATTATTATTATTATTATTATTCACGGATGGAAATCGCGAATTGCAAATGAAGAATTTTCAGTAGTGTAAAAAATAACCTAAAGCTTTTAATTTGATGTTCTTACTGAAGACTCAATTTTTTATGCGTTGGCGGTTAGTTTGCATGAGAGGCAACTCACTGGCAGAACCGCACTGTTTTTTTTTTTTTTTTTTGTTTGTTCGTTTTTTTCTGATTTTGCTCTGAGCACTGTACACAAGCATGGGATTGAAAAAGCACCTTGGAAATATTGCGTTAGGGAGTAGAATCGTGGAACCCTCGGGTTCCTGAAATAAAAATCCCTAGGGCCTCACTCGGATTTGTATCGGTAGAGGGAGCACAAGAAGAAGAAGAGGCGTCACCGGAAAGAAATGAACGACGACGGACTGGACGACGTCCACGTGCCGACCGTATCCAACCACGGTTCTGCAGGCCTGCAGCAGAAGATGACCTACTACACAAAGGCATTTCCAGCTTCTGAATACGGGTCTTCGCCTTACTTCTGCCCGGCTCCTCAGCAGGCGAGATCGTTCGCGTACGACAACGCCAGGACCATGCGAGCATCTGCGTACTACCAGCCCAACAGCATCGACAAAGCCGAAATTTGAACCTTTCTCGACGGCCAACACGTTGGCTATGTCATCTCGCCGAGATACGATATCAGGATATCCGAAAGAGTATTGATTTAAATGTATTTATTTTTGTATTATTTCGGAAAAATCGGTGTTACCCGAGCTTAAACGGTACAATTACATCATTTAAACCAGACTTCTATTTTCATAGAAGTAGATAACGAAAACAGTTGAAGGTACGCACATATACCGTACTTCTCACCGTGTCGGTGAAGTTAAAATTGAAGTTTGTTCTTCATCCATTCAGTTTGACGTTTGTGCCAAATGCTCAGTTTTGTCATGTATTTTCTTGTGATTACGGCACTAGCTCTCTTGCCAATAAAGTTAAATCTTTATTTATAGTTGTGTAGTCATAGGTTTATTCGCTGTTATATATATATAAAAATTGTAAATTATACTTCATATGAAATATAAAATATATCTATATTTCTGTTAAGACTACGAGACAATAATACATATTTTCTATTTGTTTTTCGCTTTTCTATTATATATTAAATATANTTATATATATATATATTGTGAAAAAAACAGGGCATTATTTGGAAAATATGTTTTCCA